TAAATGATTTGCATAAGGCTCCACTTATGTTAGCTGCGTACCTCTGCACACGGCCTCAAGTCCCTGCATCTCGCAGACGGTGCCGGACGGACAGTTCCTGTTGCGGCACGTGATGAACGGAACCACTGAAAGAGACGAGAATGCGTCGATCTTAGAAAGGAACCCGCTCTATTTCGACACTTTGAGTTGCCTAACTAGCCATGACGTTTGGTCAACCAAAACACGGAGATGTTCCATTCAGGATGATCCTCATCGATCTGGCTGCTGCATATCCCAGCCGCTTTCCTAAGCCAGCGTGCTGTTACGGAGAGGGAACGGTCATCTGCGGGGACGGCCAGCAGCGGGTCGGCGCCGACCGTCCCGTGTCTTGACCTACCTCCGACCTGGCAGACCTTGCCGCAGGCGTTCTCGCAGCACTTCTGGTCGGCGCTGCATTCCTCGTCCTGCTGGCACTGCTGGCCGCAGCGGGTGGGTGGCCGCGACACGGCGCCAGGGCACAGACCGCGACCCCCATCGGCCGTAGCTGCGGCGGCCGAGGTCACGGGTCAGGTCAGCTGGCACGGAGGTCGGCTCACACACCCCGAACACAGGCTGCAGTGTCCAATGTCATGGGTCAGCAAGGATCACCCCCTCCCCCCCAAACACCCCTCTCCCGGACACACAGTGAGAAGCCGTAGTCCGACCAGGCTGGACGTGACCGGAAACGATCTCCTCGAATGAAGCGCGTGACTTCCTAAACCAACGTTTAACTGCATGACAACTGTCCACTGCAAGCAACTCTGCAGAAGTTTACTTTATCTATCTCAAATGGGTTCAGATGTATCTGGTTAGTCTTAGGCTCAGCCAATTGGCCACCCACTGTCATGCGTCCCGACTGCGGACCACGGTTGAATGAGCGGGCCCTCATCGATGTCATGTTGGGGTGGGGCAGACCGGGCGTGGTCACGTGAGGGGGGATCGGGGGCGGGATCGCTCAGAGGCAGAGGAGTCTGAGGAGGGGGGCGATTCGATGGGGAGGTGACGGGCCATCGTCTCGCGGGGTTCGAGCTTGGCCAAGCAGAGGTGTTCTGTGGGAGGGAGGGGCAGAGCCAGGCCACGCAGGGGCGGGCCGCGGTGGGAGGCCTGACCTGGGTCGACGCAGAGCCGGTGACAGCCGAGGTTGCAGCACAGCTTGGCGCCCTCGCACTGCTCGTCCTCGCGGCACACCAGAATCCGGTTGGAGCAGTGCTGGCCGTGGAACGGGCACTGACCCGGCTTCGAGTGCGCTGGCGGCCGGGCGCCGGGTCATGGTTACGGTCGCGGCTGGGGTCAATGTCAGGGCCGGGGAGCCGGTTGCCGGCCGGTCGGTCACGGTGGAGCGGCACTGCCAGCAGCGCTCCCCCCCCCCCCCTCCGTGCAGGGCTGCACCGTGAGCGCCGCCATCGCTTCCGGGACGGGGCTGGCTGCTCAGGCGTGACGCAATGGACCGGTGAAACTGCCTGCCGCTGCCCGCCGAGTTAGAGGTCAAGATGGCGTTGACACGAACCCGCGGGAGTGTGCTGTGATAAAATCCAGGCATTCGAACAAACGTAGTAAGCATTGTAACCATGGTTATTTGCGTCGTAAAATCTTTGCTTTCCTTGAGGCAGAGATGTGCCTGCTGGGACGGAAGGTGCGTTATCGGGGCGCAACGGTACCGTTGAGGTCAACACACTGCTTACCGGTGCACACGGGTCCCGTTTCGAGGTCAACACACTCCTCTTCGGGCCGGTTGCAGACCATTTCATCGCACGAGGAAGGCGACACGACTGGAACCAGAGATCACGAGACTCACAATCGATGCAGCTGCTGCCAACTGTTCGTTCAGACGAAAACGGGAGATATATTCGGTGGTGCAGCTGTTTGCATTTCATGTATACGTCAAGCATGCATACAACGAACGCGAAGGAAAGTTAAGGAGCCATCCCGTTGGCCTAAGGAGCCATGCGTACCCATGCTGATCATCTATAGGGAGCTATGCGTACCCATGCTGATCATCTACAAGAGCGTGAGCTGCATAAGAATACATTTATAAAGATTTATGAAAGTTATGATGAGGCGCAACTATAAAGAACTGGATTGTTTAAGAAAAATGTTGACATCCAAGCATGCTCGGCACGCCATGTAAAAACACGGAGCTCAAATGTTTCTTTGCTCATATATAACCTCAACTATTACTTTACGCACACCAGCTGCCCGACAAAATGCGGGCACTGAAACTTGGCGTTGAATAAGAATAGGACCAATCAGCGTGGTCTACGTTTTGGCGTTACTAGGATGAGTTTGAGCACTTGGCAGATATCTCTATCTCGCAACAAAATCGTAATCGTTTAAATTATTTACGTCTGCATAGCAAATCGTGCACGAAAAGTACGTCGTTCTGCTTTCGTTGCATGACGCTGAGTAGCGACCGCAGCCGGCCGCCGCCGCTCCACCCGTGGTGTGTCGATGACTCGGACCTGTCCCACCGGCGCTGCGTCGGTGACCCGGACTGACCTGCGTCGACACACTGCAGGCCGCAGTTGATGGAGCAGCACTTCTGGTGCTCGGCGCAGTCGACGTCGGCGAAGCAGCCGGTGGGCGCCGACTTGAGCAGCAGACAGGAGCGGGTCAGCTGGCGACGTGGGCAGAACCCGGCGTGGGACGACTTGGAGTCCAGCACCACTGCCGGCACGGGGCGGATAGTCGTGATGTAGTGCCGCTGCCGGCCCGCGCCCGCGAGTGGTGACAACGCGCTACCCCACTGCCGTCGTCGACAGGGGCGGATTTAGCACAAAGTCTGGGAGGAGACCACGATGCGAATGATGCACCGATCCTGCCGTTGCCGAGCGGAGTCTAAATATATAAGCTGTTCGTTCGTCACCGCTCAAGAAGCCCTTCCTTGGATCCGCCCCTGCACAAACGTCGGTTTCCGCAGCGCAGCATGATCGAGAGAGACGACGGCAGTTGATACGCAGCACAGCCACTGGCACACCTTTTCGAACAGCTATAGCCCACTGAGGACGCCACTGAGGACACAGACGTCTTTGTATTCTTTTACTGCTGGATAAAAAAGGAAATGGAATAAACATATCGAAGTCAATGTATTTTCCGGCGTTCTCACTGCTGCCAAATGAACACGCGGAGTTATGTACGTTCTCTGGTATGTAAAAATTGTGCGGACGGGAAACAAGTGGGATAAGTATGGACGCAAGAGCAACAAGCCTTCATGCGCAAATATGGGACGCTTGGTTTTACTGATGGCCCAGCAGCACTGAAAATCACGTAATGAATGTTGAAAGATGTAAACAAAGATTATACTGAAAGCTGCAAAAATGTATTCTGTATTGTGCCTGCTATGTTTCACTCTTTGCTAGCCTAGCACACCGTATGCGTGTCGCGCTATAACTTAACTATTAAGTTTCATGGGTTCGCTCGAAAATGATGTACTTAGGAACGAATTCTCGATTACTTACGTTCTTTTACAAATGCCGCGCAGTAGCTTCTATAGAACCAGTGCGTTGGACAACGCAACGTTTCAAGTTCAAACCTTGGACTGAAGGATGGAGCCACAAAAGCTAATCGCAGATATCTCCAGACATCTGTTTACCTCCTATATAATGCAATGGGCTGAGATGACAGATGTCATCGGGAATTCGCTTGCTTAAAGCCAAACGGTCAAATTAAAACCATTTTATTGTGGTTTAATAGTCAGAAAGCACGGAGCAGACAGTTGTGTGCGATGTTCATACATGTCCCATAGAATCTCAACACAGACAGACAGTGCAGAGTTTCCAATGCGCCCATCAATATATTAGCATGAACTAGAATATCATGTGGAATTTATGTAAAACAGGATGACTGAGTCCTAATTCGTGATGTGTCATCGTGAGCTACCTTAGCAGCGTCTCTCGAAGCCCACAAAGCTGTTGCTTCCCTAACCTGACTGTTCCAGCTCCGGATTCGAAGACTGCTCTGCGCCCGAGGCCTGAACCGGCGGGAGGTACTCCTCAGGTGGTGGCGGCGGCGGCAGGTACACCTTCTTCGGCGGCGGCGGCGGCAGGTACTCCTTCTCCGGCGGCGGCGGCGGCAGGTAACTGTCGGCGACTTTGGGCGGCGGCAGGTAGGTTTCGGCCGGCGGGAGGTACGAGTCGGCCGGCTGGCTCAGACGTCTCGCGTCGGCCGCCGGCTCGTCGCCAGCCGCCAGACCGGCGACGGCCAGCAGCACCGCGAGCATCAGAGGCCTTGCCAACATGTCGCCTTCGGACCGGCCGACGCTCGTCACAGGTGGCTGCGCCGAGGAGGCTGTCAGGCGGGCAGTGCCACGGCTCGCTTCGGCCTGAGGCTGCGGCGGCGGCGGCGGCGGCGGGCTGACTGCCGGTCAGGGGTGACGGCTCGGGCCGGGCCGGGTCTGGACGACGGCCGGAGGAGGAGAGGCAGTGGCTCTGCCAGGCGGCGCGGTACGACTGACGTCCCGCCGGCCGATTTTAACGCTCCACCGCCGAGCGCCCCAGGCGGAAGTCAACGAGGCGTTCAACCCTGCACGAGCGATAACTAGCTCCGCGCGGCTACTGGCCCGGGTCTTTGTCAGCTTCCCGCGTGCCTCCCGTCTGACCATTATCGCACCGGCAGGTGAGGCGGGTGAATGACGAGAGGACCCGAGCAAACTGGTTTCTGCTCTAACGAGCCCGGCTATCTGTCGCGATCCCAACCGGCGCACACTGTGCCAATGCTGGTTCAAATGTGACCGAAATCTCGCTTCCTGACATGCTGGAAAGCTGGAAACCGACTGTTTTTGTTTCTTTTCTACCGCGTTATTGAGCAGATCATGTCAAATCGCCATCAGAAGTCCCTTGGGCCATTTGGTGTTGGTTTTGCCCGTGTCCGAAACTAAAACTTTTTTGTCGTCACTCGGTGCCGCTATTCTGCTATAAATTGACAGGATGTTTGTGTATTCATGCATGCTCCTTCCAAGGTCAAAATGTGTAGGCACCAAAAGTATCACGAGAGCGTGCTGTATCGATAACTGACATTGAATGCAACCCAAGTGGTCTTGAAAGTCATCATAATACATGACTTTGAGACTTATGCTTGGTGCTTTAAATATGATGTCATGCGTATGAACACAATAGCTATGGAGACCAACAAAAGACTGTGACAGTGCACACTTTTAAATGCATTCAAAGCACTTCCTAATGCTTGAGGAACAATTTGCAGCCATCGCTATGGTGGCAGAATAGATCCGAAAAAAATGCTACGGTTTTAGTCAATCTTCGTCCAGCCGTTTGGCCAACGGGCACAGGTCGGCGTGTCGGCTGGCCGGTCGCGCAACCCTGTAAACTCACTACTGATCTGACCTGACCTGAAGACCTGATCTGAACTGACAAGTATTAAGAACAGTGCGCCTTGCACAGTGAGCGGAGCAGCACGGGAGGACGACTCATTAATCAGCTTGCACCGCACGCACGGAGACGGACCAAGTCAGTCCCCCAGCGATGCACGCCTGGCTTCCTGTTTTTCAGATGCGTCGTTGACGTACCATGTCAGCTGCCAATCAAGGCCTGGACGTGGGCTTTCAAACACAAAACGGGCGTACATGAACGGAAGGAAGATGCACGACGGCGTTTTAAAGAGAAGATGAGCTTGGCGGTTGGGTAGCCAAGATCATGGGGAGCGACACATCAAACTACGACAACACGGCACGTCGTGCGTTCAGATATGTCAGCAAACTCAGTGAAGTAAAATGTTTGTTTCCTAAGCTTTTTCAAAAACTGGTCGGCACAGCGTCTGCCCAGTCTTCGTTCTCACCTATGGACTCTCAGAAGTGCGTGCAGTATGCCATAAGGACGACTCAGTTGTTCGTGTCACCGTGTCAATACCTTATTCCCTCGTCTGCGCACAAAGCGCTGCTTCATGTAGCGGACATGATTGGGTCACTGTCACTGCCCTCCGGCACGCACAGCCAGGATGTGCAGGAAACTAGAAACAAACACAGGCGGCAGGGGACCAGCTCCACTACCTGCTGACAGCCGTCGCTCCTACCTTTGTCAGCATCATCGAACTCGATTTCAACAGGCTCGCGTGCCGACGATGGTCATTGCAGGCCGATGCGAGCCTAGTAAACACTAGGTGCACTCCTCAAGGGCGGAGGTAGCTCAGATAGCGATGCGGATAAAGACGAAGTGAATGCAGTGTCATACCCGGGAATACGAGTTGGCCTAGTCGAGCCGTTTGGAATGGAGCGGTATGTCTTGCAGTTTGGTAGTTTAGCTGGAGCAGATATTTGCTTGTTTTGTTTTGCTTTCGCGCATTTTGTGCGTTATGTCGAACTCATGGCAGCGACTTAAGTTTAACAGATCCCACTCGTTTTTTTTATCTGCTGTGTAGTCAGCTGTGTTGTAAATGAGTCAAATGCGCTGCGCAAGTGAGACGGGGACAAACGTGCCAGTCTACAGCACGCCGTGACACTGGTCATGCATTTGCTTCGTGATGTAAAGGAGCATGTCTCAATGCAGCACAAGAAAGTGTCAAGAGCACCGGGAGTAACGTATGCTGAGCTTACTTTCTTGTGCCATTTAACGTTTTACCTCATACTTCTTTGCGCATCTCCATCGGTCATTCTGTCGCTACACGAGTACTCAAAAGGAAAAAGGCGTAACACTCATGACATAGCCAAGTGTCTACGACAAAACACGAAACATTTTCCGCGCTCTTGTTGAGTCATTCCAGAAGGCTGTTTTGATATAATGTAAAGAAACGCCTTTGGCACTTTTCATTTCAATTTGTTAATCAAATGATGACATCCACAGCCACAGCGTGACATTTCGTGACCGGTGACAGACAAACACATGACCCTAACTTTGTTAGAGACCAAGTGAAGTACATTCCTGGCTTTCACATGAGCCCTGAATGATGCTTCGGTGCGGTCTGGATGCTGAGGTAGAGGCCTCGGCCACTTCTGCACGCGAATTAGCCCGGTGTGAATCGGTGCGGCTTGCCGAAAACCCCGAGCAACTCAAGGGCAGCCGAGGGGCGAACCACGCGCCCTTGGTGGTTAGAGGTCCTTCGGCCGCGGCCCCGGCGGGCGACCATCACGAGATGACCAGATGCTTTTGTCTGTATCCCACGCTCCGGTGGAAATGAGTGACGCATCAAACAGCAATTGGCGTTGGGCTGGGATCGCATCGGCAGGGAGTGGAGACCATATCCCATCCATGTTGCTTGGGAGTTTCACATCGGCTCCGTGGTAAATGGATAACAGCTCATATACTGATCTATAAACGTTAAAAGATGAATACACGACAGGACAGTTATCGATACTCATGGAAGGCAGTCTCACTATGCCTACAGGCAGTACACTATGAAGGCAGTACTACTATGATGGTGAAGGCCTTCAGTGTACCGCGAGGTAGGCTAATGAAAAAAAACGGACAAAAATCATTATTTCAAGAGACCTGACGCTTCGGTCATAGATGATCAGTAAGAGCCTTTCGGTCATAAATGATTAGTAAGAGCCTTTCGATGGTTATGATGTGAAAGTGGTCGGGACTATTACGTCCAATTGTATGATAATTCCGTCATAGATTGTTGTCGAAAGTTTCTCAAGCATGGTTTCTAATTGGAAAACAAATTACTTTGGCTGTGCATTTTCAATCAGGGTCCACTGGAATCGTATATGTATATTTCAGGATAATGTTTGGGAGAATTGGACTTTGGAAGACAGTGCTCATGGTATGGAACTTTCTCGTGACAGGTATCAGATGTTAACGTTGTTTAACCAGCATCTCTTGGTACATTAAAGGTCAGTAATTTTCAACATTGGAACTCATTATGCCGAAACATCAAGAGCTTAAGACCTTTCCTGCCTACAAAGGGAAAGTATGA